ATAGGATGCATGGATTAATTTAAATCAAAATATCTCGAAAACGGCTGCTTGAAGCGACTTTTGACAAATACACCTCTTTCACTTAAAAATAAAAGAGGAATCGATTTTTCTTCTAGAAAATGTTATACGTATATGCACAACAAAGTTGTGACTCCCCTAAAGAGACCAAGACCTGTAGGTGGCGCTACCTATAACTAAGTGCCAAATTAAAACCAAATTCGAATTTGGCATATCACAAAGTCCTCCCCAAATACTAATTTTTGTCCAAATATCGATATTTTTTTAAAATTCATTCACGAAAAACCAAAATAGAAATAAGTGAGGATCGTCCTGTGAAATATCGAACACTAATTACTTACACCCTGTATAGGTAACAGGTGTATCAAATTTTTATGAAGGTAAAACAGAAGAAAGCTTGAATAAAATTAATAATAATGGTGTGTCTCTACTTTTTCAGATACTAGAATATTTATTATGAAAGTACCCACGCCGCATCTATCGGTATAAACACGATAAACTTAAAAACTACCTAGCGGCTTTTCATANGCATAGACTGAGGCAAGTTTGGAAGGAATAATATCCGTAACAGCTACGTTGAAAACTCGAGACAAAAATAGTGGTTTGAAAAACTAAAAAATGCTTTAATAGCAACACAAACTAAAAAATACAAAATAATTCGAAAGAAATTTGAAATTGTGCTCAATATCGATAATGAGCTTCTCTGAAATCAGAATAAATCTATTTACAAAAAAACTAATTTTGTTGTAAAAAACCGTGGGAAGCTTTAAATTATATTTTTATTATAGCCCCAATATGGCAAACAGCTTCTAACCAAGTTTAAAAAATCTGTTTTTCTCGTTACTCAGCTGTCGCCCCCATACGAACGACAACTCTCAAAAGTTGAGAACTTGTGCGAGCTAAGGACTGAAGAGGTCTCACCTTTTAACGTGTGATTCCTAACACGCTTTTATACAACAAAATTAATTTTTGTGAATAGATTATTTTTTTCAGAATTACTTTAATTTTTGATTTTTATAAAGCGAAAACTACTTGTCAAGATGAGTACTTCGACCACGCCACTGAAGATGACTGTCGCAGTAGCAGTCGAAACTTTTAGAGATTATAACAAAAGAAGACCACGGTAAAATCCGGAAACCAATCGAAACACTGTTTTGAGGTTGTTCACTTTTCCTACTACACAGATACATTCATTTATTTATCAATAATATTTGTCATTGGATTATTAGTAAAATTATTGAAAAGTATAAATTACAATCCGCTTAGAAGTGTGTCGCTAAAATTTCCATTTCCCTTCATTACTTATCGAAAGAATTACCTAATTCAATGTGATTTCATTTGTCCGACCTTGACCTATGATCTGTTCAACTAATTATATAACCTTATCTGCTGAGATAACAAGTTGAGAAAACAAAAATATATAAATGCGTCCCGAGTATTCAATGAAAGACTTCCATTCATGATTTATTTTGTTTGTTCATTTGTGGAGCTTACGCATATATACTGTCGCGTACTTTTGATACAAGTTTTTTTTCCGATGGAGGCTGAATTAGTCAGTTGCGAATTGGATGGATGGTTTATTGAATACGGAAGCATAAAATAGCCACCCTGGTAATTTAAACTCGGATTTATACTTTTCTGTCATTCTTCAACTCATAATTATATTTTTTCTGTGATGGGAAAAAAGTTAGTAGACATTTTTATCTTATAAAATTGGTTGTTACCCACAACCTGATTGATACATTTTCCATTGCGATATGCATAAAACAGCTTGAGTTTCACAATTGATAACGTTCCCGAATCTTCAATATCATCTAATGTTACCGGGCTGATTTCACAAATTTGACAAGCTCCTGCAATCCCAAATACAACAACAACCTTGGCGATTGAATGAACTTCATCGGGAGCATTATTCAAAAAGTCACTAATATGTGTACTTGTAAATATCGCATCTTTTTTGGGCATGTAACCTTTCCCATTTTGTTTCAGAAATGTAATTAGTTTGAAATATTTTGAAATGTCTACATTATTATTGGATTGTAACATACTTTTAATCAATGAATAATTTGACCATACTGTTGATGGCTTTTGTTGTTGTGACAGTTACGAAAAATAAGCCAATAACACCGTCTCCGAGAAAGAACTGCANACTCGTAAAACACGTTGTGTTTCTCCTATCGGTATAAACACGATAAACTTAAAAACTACCTAGCGGCTTTTTATAGAGAAAATGAATTCAAGCGATCTGAGAAGTCGACGCGACATGCGTGATGAAAAAATGTTTCAATTGCATTATTTTTGTTTCACGTTTTTTGTTTTATCAAGGTTCACATCGCATTTTTTATTTGAATCAGGGGAGTTATAGTGTGTACAAAGTCAATTCGAATGGTATAAAAACTAAATAGTTACCTAACGTCGGCAACTTTTTTGTATGTCATGGGTGGCGTGGAAATTCATACGAGGTGTAATTATTATTTTTATGTGGGAGGTTTTATATGGTATTAACTAGTATTTTTATCAGACCCGGTACATTAGTCTTTTATTCAACTGTTTGGATTGACTTCGCAAAGAGTATACTTACCTGATTTAAAATCAAGATTACTGTATTTTTCACCCAATGAAATATACACTGATTCTGAAAGAGTTAAATGTTAACTGATGGCCATAAATATATTAGATACGTGTAAAATCATTAATAGGAGGTAATGATTTAGATTATTTTAGTATCGTATTATTACATTCCTCATTTCATTATAATTAATTGAATATCTAATTCCATTTAGACATGCATAATATTCCATTGAGTATTCGAAGGATATAATTAAATAATAACATATATTTTTACACTTGTTGGATCTAATTAGCTTCTACCACATAAAAACAGTTCGTTCGTCATTAAATTGAGTACTTTTTCTTGTTTGTGGTATCTGATTGATTTAAAAAATACATCTTCCAATTGAGATAATTCATTTCTGGTTTCAATAAAAAGTATTTCCTTATTGAATACACGTGTAACAATTACTCATTTATTGAATTCTCAATTGATGTGCCCTTGTAGATGGGAGAAGAGACGGAAAGTTCATTTCACATAAACGCCTTTTCCCAAAAAAAAAGTTTTTTTAATGAGTCTAGTTCGAAGTGTAGGTACTTAGTTAAGTCTCGAAGTAATGAGTCTCGGTGGAATCACTTTCAGTCACTCGATGTCAAACTGGCATGGTTATTTGTAATGCTTGGATATCAAACTTGAAAACCAACAAATAAGTCGACAATATTTGATTTTCTAATAATGATGTTAATAATAATAGTAATAATAGAAGTTTGCATCCCAAGTCGTCCGTTCCACGATTGTACTTCCTCCGACAACAGAGAGGCCGTTACCTTTTGAGTATGAAGGGTCTACCTGACAAATGGAGCCTGATAAGTCGTCAGGAGTTCAGATACCCTTCTCTGCATGGTTTGCGACCATAAGAGAGTAGGAATTTTAGCATTTCTCTTTGGGGCGGCTGCTCGATCTGCTGGTGAACTCGGTTATAAGCCGCACAAATGCTATCCTTCTCGGCTGATTGAGTCTGCCGATTCTCGGACCCAACAGTCACCCCACGGTGTGGGGTATGATGCTGGCGCGCCTACCAAATGTATAGGGGTTTCGGGGACATGGCCCGACCATCTTAACCTTTAGGAAACTATAATAATAATATAATCATCATCATAACGTAAGGCTCGATACAGTATAAGCGTAACCTCTCTATGGCCTGGATCGATTGCCACAAAGTGTTTGATACAACCTCGCATAAGATCATCTTGCATCTTAGAACAACTGATACTGGCGGACTCTCTTCTCTATAACATCTGATTAGGCTAGACTCCATAAACAGTGAGTCACTTTCAGAAGAGTTGCGATTTCCTCAGTATCCTTCTCATCTGCATTTCACTATTGCCATAATCCGTTGGGCTCAGAAGTACTCGAGGGTAAAACTGTGGTTTCTCTGGAAACCGGAAGCCACCCAATTGTTTTATATGGATGATCTTAATTAAACATAATTCCTCTGAAGAAAATGATCTCCATCAATCCATGAGAGTGGTGGAAGAGTACACGTATGCTGTCGGTATGGAACTCGGAATGGATAAATGTGCAAGGGTCCATTTTAACTCTTTCAAGTACCCTGGTGCAAAATTTGAACCATAATTTTTTGGTGTAAGACGTATGCTGGGACAAAATATATCCCGCTTTGTAATGGGCTTATACTTCGTGGTATGTCGGTTCATTTTCTTTCCCGCATCAAATAACTCACTCCTATTGGTCTTCGTCATCATCTGTTCAAGGCTGAATCACAGTAAACGAAGCGTTAGTTGTGAATAGCAAACAATCAAAACTCGTAAAACACGTTGTGTTTCTCCATTTAAATTTCGGTTGAAAAGCATATCTATTTATTGTAATGTTGTATGAAATATAATTCGGACAAAATAGGTAAGCTACCTTTTTCATTATTTCAATTTATAAGTTTATTTTTCATTCATAATCTGTGAAAATAAACTCTGTGCAAAATTTGTCCCACCATACAACAATACATATTTTCTTACAGAAATGGCCAAGAGATATTTCAAGGAACCCTTGCCATTTACGCTGATTGGGATGACAGAACAAGAACTGTACAATGAAATAAACCTAGAAGTCGATGCTATGGAGGAATATGCAGATATACCTTCTGATAGTGGGTATGAAAATGATAGTGATGGGGTTAATGACTGCGAAATTACCAATGCAGAAGCTGAATTCAATTTTGATGGTGATAACATAATGCTGTCGGACAAAGAAGATGAGACACTGTTACCCATGGATACATGGGACCCAGAAAATTTGCTACCCCTATCACAGTTGAAGGCAATGGGGAAGATACAATGGTGCAACGGTGTTGCTCAAGATATCAAGGATTTGAGTAATCCATCACCTTACACTCTTTTCTGTCAGTTTATTTCGGATGAAGTATTGAATAATATAGTTTTCCAGACTAATCTATATGCTGAGCAGAATTATCAGAAAACTGGGAAACCATATAAACTGACAGACATACCTGAAATGAAAACATTTTTGGGAATAAATTTGTTGATGGGCATGAAAAAGTTACCATCGTACAGAGATCACTGGAGTCAAAATCCTGACTTGCGTGACCCTTATATAAGTAAATTGATGACTGTTCACCGGTTTGGATGGATGTTGAGTAATATTCATCTGAATGACAACACTAGAATGCCTGAAAGAAATACCAACCAATTTGATAAACTGTATAAAATACGCCCTTTCATAAAAATCATCAGAGACAATTTCAGGAGATGCATTTACTCACATGAACATATAGCAATAGATGAGTCAATGATTGAATTTGAAGGTCGATCTTCTCTGAAGTAATATCTTCTAAAAAAACCTATCAGAAGGGGATATGAAGTCTGGATGATTTGTGATGAAACAGGATATTGTATGGAATTTGAAATCTACACAGGCAAACTGTCTGGAGAAGTTGAAAAGGTTTTGGGTTCTAGGGTTGTGAAAAGATTATCTTCAATGATTGGTAAATCTCACAGACTATACTTAGACAAATTTTTTTCGAGTGTTAGTCTGATGAAAGACTTAGTAGATAATCATATATATGCGTGTGCTACTATTTTGTTTGTTTGTTTTCCTTTCTTGAATGATTTCCATTTGGTTTGTTGATAAATTTCTCGAAAAATAGGCGAAAAAATAAAGCTGTACATCTAGGGGGTGTTTAATTTTGAATTTCTTGTACCTGAAAGAGTTTTAAAAGAGGGCTCCGACAGATCTGGTTATCGGAACTGTCGGGAAAGAACAAAGTTGCTGCTACGAATATACTTGCCATTCCAATATTACTCGACCATGAAGAGGCATAAGCCTATAGCAGGCCCCCCTCAAAACACTGTCTGAAACATAATGTAATTGACCAAAACTTGAATAAACATTTTTGAATTGAAATTGATATTACTCTACTCTTTCAGAGTAGTTAAGTGGACTCAAGAGGAGCTGTATTAACCCGATGCAAATACTCGAAAAAAAATGCATCTTCATAAGAGTTTACGTCCTTAATCGTCCGTTACACGGTTGTACTTCCCACGAAAACAGGGAGGCCTTGGAATTTTTAGTTTCGAGTGTTCACACCTGTTAAGTCATCTGGAGTACGTATCCCCTTCTTTAGCGTTCCAACGCGGTTTTTCTGAAAAAATAATGGATTGGGAAACCTTTGAAGAGAACATTTGAAAAGCCTCCATAATAATCTGCCACTTGTTCTTCTTTCCTAGTCGAAATTATAAAGGTAACATCTTCCTCACATAAAGGGTTGAACCCGTCCTGTTTCGAAATAAAAGTGAAGTCTTTCCAAAGTTTCAATTTTATTTTCTGAAAGGAATATAGTATGGATGGGAAGTTCCCATATTGACACCCTATATATCTATTAATTTGTATGTTGTAGTACCTTCCGATGATTGGTACGTATAGACACAAACCAAACGTATTTGACACAAGCCAAAACTACAATTTGGACTTTCATAATCAGGTATTTTATTAGAAAGTGTACACTTCTACGGTCAAAGATAACTGGGGTTTTGTTGACCGTCGTGTGCAGCTTTATGTGTATAATTCCGTGTACAACTGTGCTAGACACTATCAAAGGCAACGAAAACATGCATTGGTTGTTCCCAAAGCAGATACTACGAAGATTGTTTTTGGTTTGTGTTTTCGGGTTTTTTCCATTAGTGATGGCGCAGCTCCTTTTCTGAATTTCGATCGCCTTCCTATATTGTCTTGGATAATTATTTTATTGAAGATTAGGGCCTCTTTCCATGTAGACCGACTCCAACCATTGTGTACAAGGAGACCACGTTGAAGCTTTCTAGGTTGGATTTACTTCTTAAGTCTCATCATTTCGATGAAATGTCTGTCTTCAACGAACAACACTGTTTTCTGTTGTGGGTTCGTTCAGTATTTGACCAGCTCATAAGTGAACCTTCCGCATTTACCATAAATCTTGGTGGCACATTCTTTTGCAGACCATATATACGAGGCGAAAAAGTATCAGTGTTTTTGAAGAAGTCTTTTCGTATTATCTTCAAGACTTGATGCTCAAGGCCCTTCCACTAAGTATATATGGCCTGAACCACAAAGAGTGTGCCTTTCCTGAACACTCAACCTATCTACTGCAGCTCACGGAAAAATTCAGGTTTTTCATCAAAATATGAGAGATGTGATGTTAGTTCACTCTAGGACGCTTCGGCGTGGTATCCTTTTATACAATAGTTAAAACCATGAACAGAAGTTTGAGTACCTGGCTCTCTGAACAGTGCCTAAGGCTTACCAATAAATCAGCAGTAGTGGAGCATGCACTTATAGAAGATACCTACGTTATCACGTTCGGAGAGCCCTCGATAGAATTCATTGTTACTTTTCAAGCAAGACTAAATAGGGATGCGATAGAAATTCAGAAACACATGAACAATTTCAACCAAAAGAAAGATGGAATCAACATTAATGGAGCATGGCTACCTTCATTCAATTACTGTTGTATGAAGTCATATATTTCAATCAATAGGAACGAATCCACAGGATACCTTGCAGAAGAAACACCCAACTTAAAAAATCAAATTTCTTGGACATATATTCCGTATTCGAGATGTTCAATGCAGTGAATTCAAAGTATTTGAAACATATCAGTTATATAATACGATTGCAGTCGAGAATTTTTTTAAGAACAAATCACAATAACTGCAGGAAAACCTTAAGGCGCTCTCAGATCGGTGCCTGTGCGGAAGTAGCGATTCACATTGGATTTGAATCGCTAGAGATTAAATTCATTTGGAAAAATGTTCTCATAAACGCAGTTCTCCAGATGAAAGAGGCTACAGTCCGTCGCATATTTCTGATATGTATCCCTCGCGGTGGAATCAAATGTGCCAAGTCACTTGAACATCTCTCGTGAAAGTATCTATAGGAGAGAGACAAATCTCCAACCTTTCTTCGGCGTTCCAGGCTATCAAGGTTGCACGTGATGTTCGCTTTTATAATCAGGCAGATGACTCTTTTCTGGGTGGAATCCAGCACCTTCAGGGTATGCTGCCACAATATCAAGCGCCAAAGCTCTTGATTCTAATTGTTTCTCGATAGCTTTATTCCAAATATGGATGACATGTGATAGAAGGTTAATCTTTGCTTCCGAAAGCCATATTGATGATCGCTGAAAATGTTGAAAATGTTAGAAGGATCTAAACCCGTTGGGATTGGCAAGCAGTTTATCTTGATTGTGAGCAATTATCTGATTGTGAAGTTCTTTGCTTTCATTCATCCTAAGTTTGCAGCTGTCGCGAGCATTAACAAACCTAGTTTGGTTTTCGCCATTGGGATTTTTGCGCCACTGCTGGTAGGCATGGATACCATGTTCAAGTTTACTAACAACTCGACAAAATTTCTAGATTGACAGTAATCACCTCAAGATTCTCAAAAAGTTCATAGTTTCTGTTCCGTGCTGAGTGTCCCTTCTGCAGAGTTTCTGTGATGGAGCCATGTCTACCACCGGAATATATCCGGAGACTCAAACCAGTTCTGTAGTATCTGCTTTGAAAACAACTAGAGCACTTCATCCGTTGGCTCATCGTCTTTGATAATAGATAGCAAAGGGACTGGTCTATAGTTATTAGGAAAATTTTTCTTGCCCTTTTTGGGAATAGGCTTAACGCTAGCAATATTCCAAGAAGAAGAAAAACTCCTCTCCTGTAGGACAGGTTCAAAAGTCTGCACAATACTGGTACGAGTCCCGGCATTGTGGATTCTATTGTGGGAATAGTGGGTGGTGCCTTTTCTATAAAATCGACTGTGGAGTGGGACGCGAATTAGTCAGCTAGTAGATTTACTTTTTCTATAACAGTTGTTACAATTGAACCATCCGCTCGTGTTAGTGGTGGAATTGTGGATTTTGTAAAGTTCTTATTAACAACTTCAATTACCGACCAGAAGGATCTAAACCCGTTGGGATTGGTAAGCAGTTTCTTCAATTATCTGATTGTGAAGTTCTTTGCTTTCATTCATCCTAAGTTTGCAGCTGCCGCGAGCATATACAAACCTAGTTTGGTTTTCGCCATTGGGATTTTTGCGCCACTGCTGGTAGGCATGGATACCATGTTCAAGTTTACTAACAACTCGACGAAATTTTTTGATTGACAGTAATCACCTCAAGATTCTCAAAAAGTTCATAGTTTCTGTTCCGTGCTGAGTGTCCTTTCAGCAGAGTTTCTGTGATGGAGCCATGTCCACCACCGGAATATATCCGGAGACTCAAACCAGTTCTGTAGTATCTGCTTTGAGAACAACCAGAGCACTTCATCCGTTGGCTCATCGTCTTTGATAATGTCTACCGTAGTCATGAAACTTGCAGACCACGACCAACAAAATAGCTTTAACACAGTTATTTTATTATAGATGCAGTATTGGATTGAATTATCAATTTTCAATTTAAATAATCATACAAAAATCGAAATGAGTATTATTTCAAACTCTGAAAATTAAACTTTTTGTTACAAAAAATTATTGGAATATTTGGAATACATCAAACTTTTTGTTTGTAATTGTTTTATCAACAAAATTGGTTAATGCATTTCTGACCTATGATTGCATTACATCATTTTTGACGTAACATTTTTGTTTTTTAGTTTATCTTCCAATCTCGATATATGCATTGGCTCCCAATAAAATCACATTCATCTCTATCGCATTTTTTGGAAGTCAGGACCTCTTAATGATCCGACTTCTCAACATCGGATTTATGATAAACCACTTTTAGCATTTCTTTCCTGTTTTTTCTGGTGAAAACTTTTATCCAAAATGAATTGCGAAAAATCAGTCCTGATGTATAATATCTGTGGAGAGAAAAATATAGTCATGTCAGTCTCACTGACCAGTTTTCGCTATAGCTTCTAGATTTCATCAGTGGTTAAACTGACCCAAAAATGCCGTAAGAAATAGTCACGAAGGTACTTGTCAGCTATAATATCCCAAGGACATTGATAACTAACGAAATAATTTTATCACAGTTTTCGAAAGCACGTTATTTGGTAACATCCCGACGCCGAAGACGGAGGGATGTTACCTAAAATAACGTGCTTGAGGAAGTTGTGATAAAATTATGAGTTATTTATCAATGTTCGAGGGATATTCGGTGAGAAAATTTTTTGCAATTCNCCATGGGTAGTTATCAGTGTAATGATGGTTTCATTGGTTATTTCGACACACATGACTAGAAATAGACAAATTTGATAGGATAATTTTTTTGGCAAAAAATTCTCACGAAAACTCACTAACCCTTCAACTTTTCATGAGATCATAAATACAGTGCCCCTCTGGTCGGTCAGAGT